ATACTTCAGTGTTGGCGATACTTCAGTGTTGGCGATACTTCAGTGTTGGCGATACTTCATTGTTGGCGATACTTCAGTGTTGGCGATACTTCAGTGTTGGCGATACTTCAGTGTTGGAGATACTTCAGTGTTGGAGATACTTCAGTGTGTGGCGATACTTCAGTGTTGGCGATACTTCAGTGTTGGCGATACTTCAGTGTTGGCGATACTTCAGTGTTGGCGATACTCAGTGTTGGAGATACTTCAGTGTTGGAGATACTTCAGTGTTGGCGATACTTCAGTGTTGGCGATACTTCAGTGTTGGCGATACTTCAGTGTTGGCGATACTTCAGTGTTGGCGATACTTCAGTGTTGGCGATACTTCAGTGTTGGCGATACTTCAGTGTTGGCGATACTTCAGTGTTGGCGATACTTCAGTGTTGGCGATACTTCAGTGTTGGCGATACTTCAGTGTTGGAGATACTTCAGTGTTGGCGATACTTCATTGTTGGCGATACTTCAGTGTTGGAGATACTTCAGTGTTGGAGATACTTCAGTGTTGGCGATACTTCAGTGTTGGCGATACTTCAGTGTTGGAGATACTTCAGTGTTGGCGATACTTCAGTGTTGGCGATACTTCAGTGTTGGCGATACTTCAGTGTTGGCGATACTTCAGTGTTGGCGATACTTCAGTGTTGGCGATACTTCATTGTTGGCGATACTTCAGTGTTGGAGATACTTCAGTGTTGGCGATACTTCAGTGTTGGCGATACTTCAGTGTTGGCGATACTTCAGTGTTGGTGATACTTCAGTGTTGGCGATACTTCATTGTTGGCGATACTTCAGTGTTGGAGATACTTCAGTGTTGGCGGTACTTCAGTGTTGGCGATACTTCAGTGTTGGAGATACTTCAGTGTTGGAGATACTTCAGTGTTGGAGATACTTCAGTGTTGGATATACTTCAGTGTTGGAGATACTTCAGTGTTGGCGATACTTCAGTGCTGGCGATACTTCAGTGTTGGCGATACTTCAGTGTTGGCGATACTTCAGTGTTGGAGATACTTCAGTGTTGGCGATACTTCAATGTTGGCGATACTTCAGTGTTGGCGATACTTCAGTGTTGGCGATACTTCAGTGTTGGCGATACTTCAGTGTTGGCGATACTTCATTGTTGGCGATACTTCAGTGTTGGAGATACTTCAGTGTTGGCGATACTTCAGTGTTGGCGATACTTCAGTGTTGGCGATACTTCAATGTTGGCGATACTTCAGTGTTGGCGATACTTCATTGTTGGCGATACTTCAGTGTTGGAGATACTTCAGTGTTGGAGATACTTCAGTGTTGGAGATACTTCAGTGTTGGCGATACTTCAGTGTTGGCGATACTTCAGTGTTGGCGATACTTCAGTGTTGGCGATACTTCAGTGTTGGAGATACTTCAGTGTTGGCGATACTTCAGTGTTGGCGATACTTCAGTGTTGGCGATACTTCAGTGTTGGCGATACTTCAGTGTTGGCGATACTTCATTGTTGGCGATACTTCAGTGTTGGAGATACTTCAGTGTTGGAGATACTTCAGTGTTGGCGATACTTCAGTGTTGGCGATACTTCAGTGTTGGCGATACTTCAGTGTTGGCGATACTTCAGTGTTGGCGATACTTCAGTGTTGGCGATACTTCAGTGTTGGCGATACTTCATTGTTGGCGATACTTCAGTGTTGGAGATACTTCAGTGTTGGAGATACTTCAGTGTTGGCGATACTTCAGTGTTGGCGATATTTCAGTGTTGGCGAAACTTCATTGTTGGCGATACTTCATTGTTGGCGATACTTCAGTGTTGGAGATACTTCAGTGTTGGCGGTACTTCAGTGTTGGAGATACTTCAGTGTTGGAGATACTTCAGTGTTGGAGATACTTCAGTGTTGGAGATACTTCAGTGTTGGAGATACTTCAGTGTTGGAGATACTTCAGTGTTGGAGATACTTCAGTGTTGGAGATACTTCAGTGTTGGAGATATTTCAGTGTTGGCGATACTTCAGTGTTGGCGATACTTCAGTGTTGGCGATACTTCAGTGTTGGAGATACTTCAGTGTTGGAGATACTTCAGTGTTGGAGATACTTCAGTGTTGGAGATACTTCAGTGTTGGAGATACTTCAGTGTTGGCGGTACTTCAGTGTTGGAGATACTTCAGTGTTGGAGATACTTCAGTGTTGGAGATACTTCAGTGTTGGAGATGCTTCAGTGTTGGAGATACTTCAGTGTTGGAGATACTTCAGTGTTGGCGGTACTTCAGTGTTGCAGATACTTCAGTGTTGGAGATACTTCAGTGTTGGAGATACTTCAGTGTTGGAGATACTTCAGTGTTGGAGATACTTCAGTGTTGGAGATACTTCAGTGTTGGAGATACTTCAGTGTTGGAGATACTTCAGTGTTGGAGATACTTCATGTTGGAGATACTTCAGTGTTGGAGATACTTCAGTGTTGGCGGTACTTCAGTGTTGGAGATACTTCAGTGTTGGAGATACTTCAGTGTTGGAGATACTTCAGTGTTGGAGATACTTCAGTGTTGGAGATACTTTAGTGTTGGCGGTACTTCAGTGTTGGAGATACTTCAGTGTTGGAGATACTTCAGTGTTGGCGATACTTCAGTGTTGGAGATACTTCAGTGTTGGAGATACTTCAGTGTTGGAGATACTTCAGTGTTGGAGATACTTCAGTGTTGGAGATACTTCAGTGTTGGAGATACTTCAGTGTTGGAGATACTTCAGTGTTGGCGTACTTCAGTGTTGGAGATACTTCAGTGTTGGAGATACTTCAGTGTTGGAGATACTTCAGTGTTGGAGATACTTCAGTGTTGGAGATACTTCAGTGTTGGAGATACTTCAGTGTTGGAGATACTTCAGTGTTGGAGATACTTCAGTGTTGGCGGTACTTCAGTGTTGGAGATACTTCAGTGTTGGAGATACTTCAGTGTTGGAGATACTTCAGTGTAGGAGGTACTTCAGTGTTGGAGATACTTCAGTGTTGGAGATACTTCAGTGTTGGAGATACTTCAGTGTTGGAGATACTTCAGTGTTGGAGATACTTCAGTGTTGGAGATACTTCAGTGTTGGAGATACTTCAGTGTTGGAGATACTTCAGTGTTGGAGATACTTCAGTGTTGGCGATACTTCAGTGTTGGAGATACTTCAGTGTTGGAGATACTTCAGTGTTGGAGATACTTCAGTGTTGGAGATACTTCAGTGTTGGAGATACTTCAGTGTTGGAGGTACTTCAGTGTTGGAGATACTTCAGTGTTGGAGATACTTCAGTGTTGGAGATACTTCAGTGTTGGAGGTACTTCAGTGTTGGAGATACTTCAGTGTTGGAGATACTTCAGTGTTGGAGATACTTCAGTGTTGGAGATACTTCAGTGTTGGAGATACTTCAGTGTTGGAGATACTTCAGTGTTGGAGATACTTCAGTGTTGGGGATACTTCAGTGTTGGAGATACTTCAGTGTTGGAGATACTTCAGTGTTGGAGATACTTCAGTGTTGGCGGTACTTCAGTGTTGGAGATACTTCAGTGTTGGAGATACTTCAGTGTTGGAGATACTTCAGTGTTGGAGATACTTCAGTGTTGGAGATACTTCAGTGTTGGAGATACTTCAGTGTTGGAGATACTTCAGTGTTGGAGATACTTCAGTGTTGGAGATACTTCAGTGTTGGAGATACTTCAGTGTTGGAGATACTTCAGTGTTGGAGATACTTCACCTCCGCTACAGCGTCTCTTCGAACTAATGAGTCTCATTTTACTTATTTTAGATTTTCTCAGGGAATTACAAGGTTGAGTTACAGCTCCTGGGGTATTTTGAAAGTGTCGAGTTAAAGCTCCTGAGCCTATTAGAGTGTTGAGTTACAGCTCACGAGCCTCGTGAATTTTGGATAACTTGCATTAAGTCAGTCATACCTCATTCTATGCCAATTATACCTTGTACCAAGTCGATCAGACCTTGTACTATACCTGTACTCACCTATTTGTACTCACCTATTTGTGATTGCAGGGGTCGAGTCACAGCTCCTGGCCCCGCCTCTTCGCTGATTACTACTAGGTCCTCTCTCTCCCTTCCCCATGAGCTCTATCATACCTCGCCTTAAAACTTTGTATGGTTCCCGCCTCCACTACGTCACTTTCTGTGTGTGTGTGTACTCACCTAGTTGAGGTTGCGGGGGTCGAGTCTGAGCTCCTGTGTGTGTGTGTGTGTGTGTGTGTGTGTGTGTGTGTGTGTGCGTAATCTACTTTTATTAAATAATTTCAACATTAGGAAAACCTATCATTGGCTGGCTTTGTCTCCTGTCTCACGCTCTTTACAAGTCATCATTACACCGACCATTGCTCCTAGCATCCACACACTCACTCCTCTACCCACAAACTTCTCCTGAGCAATAAAACACTGCATATGAAATATATTCCCCTTCAACCTCCTCCTTATTACTTCTAGTCCATCTTTCATCCAGTAACTCTTAATATCTTCACTAAGTCTAGACGTCATCCTCCTTGTGCTTTATCCCCCCGTTATTCTTACTTTTGCTTACAGTAAATAACGATATGATATATTTCTTCAGTCTTAGAGTTAGGAAGTGGAATAATCTGGAGAGTGAATTAGTGGAGGCAGGATCCATACATAGCTTTAAGCAGAGGTACTCTAAGGCTCTTGAAGCAGGGAGAGAGTGGACCTAGCAGCAACCAACGAAAAGACGGGGCCAAGAGCTGCTACATGACCTCTGCAGCCAAATATAGGTGTATCGGATATCCGCATCCAACCCCGCAGAACATCCGCACACTTTCTTGCATCTGCATCCGCATCCGCATTCGCGTTTTGCTGAAAACACATATCCGCATATGCATCCGCATCCAAATCCACGGAACATCCGCATCAACATCCGCGGAACATCCACACAATTTCTCGCATCCGCATCAGCAAAATAAGTAAGACATCATCATACACAACCGCACCGATACATCTCAAGACTGAGTACGTACCTGGTGGCGCTGGAGGAACGACTGGATCCACATAATTACTGCCTGAAAGAATAAAAAAAACATTACATGTTTTTATTAAAAGACAAAGATTACTACACACATATGATAAAATAAATTAAATAAAAAAATTACTTTTGGAGTCATTAGTATAAATATTAACTAATATTTGCTAGTTTTTCACTAATAAACGCTAGTTTTAAACTCACACGGGATAATTTTGAATTAACCTGGCATAGTTTTAACTAATCTAGGGTAGTTTTAACTAATCTGGCATAGTTTTAACTAATCTGGGATAGTTTTAACTAATCTGCCATAGTTGTAACTAATCTGGGATAGTTTTAACTAATCTGAGATAGTTTTAACTAATCTAGGATAGTTTTTAGCTAATTTTTACTAAAATGGACTAGTTTTTACCTAATATTGGCTAGTTCTACCTAAGAGAAGCTAGTTTTAAATAATATTGGCTGTGTTGATGTAATATGGGCTAGTTTTAGTTAATATGGGCTAGTTTAATTAATATAAAGTAGTTTATCTTAATGTGAGCTAGTTTTAATTATAGGCTAGTGTCAGTTAATATGATCTGGTTTTAGTTAATATGGGCTAGTTTTAGTTAGCATGGGCTAGGTTAAGTTAATATGGGCTAGTTTTATTTAATTTGAGCTAGTTTTACTTAATATGAGCTAGTTTTAGTTAATATGAGCTAATTTTAGTTAATATGGGTTAGTTTTAGTTAACGTGGACTAGTTTTAGTTAACATGGGCTAGTTTTAGTTAACATGGGCTAGTTTTAGTTAACATGGGCTAGTTTTAGTTAACATGGGCTAGTTTTTGTTAATAAGGGCTAGTTTTAGTTAACATGGACTAGTTCTAGTTAACATGGACTAGTTTTAGTTAACATGGACTAGTTTTAGTTAACATGGGCTAGTTTTAGTTAACGTTTGCTAGTTTTAGTTAACATGGGCTAGTTTTTTGTTAATAAGGGCTAGTTTTAGTTAACATGGGCTAGTTTTAGTTAATAAGGGCTAGTTTTAGTTAACATGGGCTAGTTTTTGATAATAAGGGCTAGTTTTAGTTAACATGGACTAGTTTAGTTTAATAGGGCTAGTTTTAGTTAACATGGGCTAGTTTTTGATAATAAGGGCTAGTTTTAGTTAACATGGGCTAGTTTTAGTTAACATGGGCTAGTTTTAGTTAACATGGACTAGTTTTAGTTAACATGGGCTAGTTTTAGTTAACATGGACTAGTTTTAGTTAACATGGGCTAGTTTTAGTTTACATGGACTAGTTTTAGTTAACATGGGCTAGTTTTAGTTAACATGGGCTAGTTTTTGTTAATAAGGGCTAGTTTTAGTTAACATGGACTAGTTCTAGCTAACATGGGCTAGTTATAGTTAACATGGGCTAGTTTTAGTTAACGTTTGCTAGTTTTAGTTAACATGGGCTAGTTTTTGTTAATAAGGGCTAGTTTTAGTTAACATGGACTAGTTCTAGCTAACATGGGCTAGTTATAGTTAACATGGACTAGTTTTAGTTAACGTTTGCTAGTTTTAGTTAACATGGGCTAGTTTTTGTTAATAAGGGCTAGTTTTAGTTAACATGGACTAGTTCTAGCTAACATGGGCTAGTTATAGTTAACATGGGCTAGTTTAACATGACCTAGCTTAACAGGTACCGACAAGTACCGACAAGTACCGGCAAGTACCAACAAGTACCGGCAATTACCGGCAAGTACCGACAAGTTGGAGAGTAAGACACACGTTAGGTATCTTTATTGTTGATTGAAATGTTTCGTCTACACTACTCATCTACACTACAGCCTGAGTTGTGCGGCTGGAAAAGCCATCAAAATTCTTTGTTACTTGTCTATACACCGGACGCACCAACACCACCAATGATCTCGACTGTAAAATAGACTGGGGGAAGCAGTATGGTTGTGGCTTTCTTCAACGATCAAAAACTACCACGGTCTAGCTTACCTGAATTCTGAATAAGTAGAGGATCCACTAGATGATCTTGGTATGACAGACATAGAGGAAAATATTATTCTTTAATCAAAAAATCATAATAAGAAATCAGTGTCTTAGGCCTACTGGGGAAACAACTAAAAAAAATGGCTAGTGGTGTGGAAGTGAGTCAATTTACATATATATGAATAGATAAGTTAAATTCTAAAAATAAGAATCTCGCCTTTCCGAATTGTGACTTTCCCACTCTGCTAGTTCCTCTCTCTGTATTTTAACTAAAAATAATGTCCTTTTTGAAATATTAACAGAAAACCGGGCATGAGTAGCAAAAAATTCCACAGAAAATTCAAAATCGCGCTGTATATCCGGTGTGGCTTACGTAAAACCTATAACATATACAGTGAACATGTATAAAAGTAATCATATTCAGAAATTATTTTCCAGTTTATCTTGAGCTATAAATTTTTCCATCAGATGCACAGTTTTCCAAATAACCGAGAAAAACAAATAACATTTCCTTCGCTCAGAGTGTGTTTGAAGGTCACAACAATGTTAGGCTGCAGTAGGACGGAGGAAACTTTTTCTATATTAATTTTGCAGCCTTCAGGAGCATTTGTGAAAATTTTCAATTTTTATCAAATATTCTCGTCATTTATCCTAATATGACTGATTCATTTCGCAAGAGTTAGAGGCCACATACGGGCCATACGTCTTCATTTCTACAAATTTTGTCTCCACGATAAAGACTGCTAAAGAAATCGTTTCTGTCCAACTGGCTGAAATAATTCTCCACAAGGATCTATCACACCCAGGTGTGTTCCTGTTCACTCTCCCACAACATTGTGAAGCAGTAGTAGCCTCCTGTAAACATCAGGACTCAATGTATAGAGAGATTTTCTGACATCCCATCGCCACCCTCACTTACAGTATTAACTATTTCGTCTTATCTGGTCAATATGAACGTAATTATTGTTTTTTTTATCTTCAGGATATAATAATTATAATCTTTTGGGGTCGGAATTTATTTTGGCAAATAGAATTCCTGTGTATCATATGTTGACCTATTGTAGCAGAAGAAATTACTAGAAAAATAAAGTCAAAATACCATGGCTGGGACACTTCACCATCAACCCTGACTTACGACAGTAACCATTTTTTTGGTGTTAGGAAGTAAATTTTATGTAATATTTGTCTCTCCATTTTATCGGAATTGTATATTATTTCATTATTTAATAATTGTCAAACAGTCTGAGTAAATTAGTCGATTTATATTCTTACGCCACAGTAGTAGAAACAACACTTTAGTTCAGACAATATCAGATCGGAAACTTTTAGAAGGAGCTCCTACATTCCTGTCAGACACAGCAACATCTTGGGCTCTTGATACAGGGAATTCTATGTTTTCCTAAACTTATAAGCATGACCTACTTCAACATGTGGATTTGTCCAAAGTGACACCGTCTACGACTGCTTCACCTCACCTGTTTACAGTACGTCTCTACTCGCTTATGCTGCATTCTTATCAAGATTGATGGACTTATTACATGGACTCCAAGCTGATGGACTCATTACCTCAATCTCCTGATCTTCACCATTTTTCTTGGACTGATGAAGCCACGGTGTGGCGAAACACTTACACAATAAAGATACCCAAGTGTTGCACAGGTTTCTAATTTATCAACTTGTCGGTTCTCTGAACCATTTATCTACACTGTGAATTTTACAGCGCCTCCAATAAACCATTGACCAGCCAACTGAAAATTTATACAAATACTCGAGTGGTGAAAACTAACCTTTCATCTCACAGAGAAAGAAATTGGCCACAGAACACATGCTGTCCTCCCACAGACCCGTGTCCATGGCCAGCTCTGAAGGTCGAGAAACATAAAGAGTTTGCAAGCAATTAAAACATTAATTACTAGTTAGTTATTTACATTTCTTTTCAAGAGGGTGTTGTAGTGCTGTTGACAAGCTCTTGAACCTAACAATTATTCTTCCCTTCCTTCAAGCAAATATTATTGCCTCCTATTCCTTAAGCATTGAATGATTCTTATGAGCTTACCGATTCTCCGAGCATATTAATAATAACTATTATCACTGATATCATTATTATTATTATTAGTAGTAGTAGTAGTAGTAGTAGTAGTACTATTATTACTGTTACTGAATGACAATATAATTAATTATCATTTTGACCTCAAATCTTCAAAACAATTAGAGTAAACTAGTATTTTATGAAACACACACACACACACACACACACACACACACACACACACACACACACACACACACGGAGAACCAGGGGTCTGGTGGATGAACCTGGGAGAGAAGATTGGGAGGGAGAGCTCACGAAAAGGGACGAAGAGTGGGGAAGGAAACTAGAAGAACTAGGCAAGAAAATGGAGGAGAGGATAGCTGCAGAGTGCAGGAAATAGGAGCTACAAGCCATAGCAACAGAAGCTAAGATACAGTGCCTAGAAGAGGAACTAAAAAATCTGAAACAGCCTAAAGAACCAAAGGACAGTATAGCCAAAGTATCAGGAACTTCTACATCAGTCACGGACGAGGTGACTGTAGGGAGCAAAGGAGCTTTACTGTAAGCAAAGGAACTATCAGACCCACGTGGGGCCTTGGAAAAGACGAGGAGCACATCAGGAACAAATGAGGGGACTAAAGATTATGAAGGACCTAAGCTATATGCAGAGACTCTAATAGACAACTAAAGTGGCCAGGAACAGCTGAGCAGGAAAGACAGACCACTGAGCACAGGGACATCAGCTAGGAAAGAGATTGAAGGAAGGAATGCTTCAATGGAAGGAACTATATCACCTTAGGGGATGCAAAGGGAAATACAGTTGGAGGACGAAAGGGAGAGGCCAGTTTGCAAGAGCAAAAAACGACCAGTCAAAGTGATTTTCGGAGCAGAATCAGCTCAAAACAGGATCCTGTAGGAGAAAGCACGACTAAGGGACAAACTGGAGAACCGGAGAGTGTACCTCGATAAAGACAGAACACAAGAAGAAAGGAAGATACTGAAAGAGAGGGTACAAAGACGAAAGGAGAAATGAGATGCAATGACTGAGATGAGCAGGAGAACCCAGACTCAGGCGGAAGAGCAAACACAACCTCCTCCAGAAGCACCCACAGAAGAAATCCAATCATGGCAACCCAAATGCATCTGAACAATCTAAACCAAAACCCACACACTGTTCCTTCTGTCCCCACCCCCCATATCACAAACCCCACCCCTACAGCAACCCCCCATAAGCATTCTGCCCCTACCCCCTCATCACAAACCCCACCCCCACAGCAACCCTCTATAGGCCCTTGCCAGGGCTTCCACTCCCCAGCCCCACCATTCTCCCTGGGCCACAGTTTTAAAAAAGAAGTTGAAGGTTTGGTATACGAACATGGATGGAATAATGAATAAATGTGAGGAGTGGCATGAAAGAATCATAGCAGTCACGGGAATGAAACTCACTGAGACAATAACAGATGCAATCTTCCCACTTGGATATCAGATCCTGAGGAAAGATAGAAGGAGCAGAGGGGGAGGAGGGGTTGCACTGCTCATTAAAAACCGATGGAGTTTCGAGGAAATGGAAGGAATGGACGAAATTGGAGAAAGGGATTACATGGTAGGTACAATTCAGTCTGGGGAACATAAGGTAGTCATTTCAGTGATGTATAACCCACCACAGAACTGCACGAGGCCAACATGACACCAAAATAGGCCGTCCAATTCATTCTAATGAGGACATTAGAGCATTCCAGGATGATTTGAATAGATTGATGCAATGGTCGGAGAAGTGGCAGATGCAGTTTAATATATACAAATGCAAAGTTCTAAATGTTGGACAGGAAAATAGCCATGCCACATATAAAATACATAATGTAAATCTTAATATTACGGATTACGAAAAGGATTTAGGAGTTCTGGTTAGCAGTAATCTAAAACCAAGACAACAGTGCATAAGTGTTCGCAAAAAAGGTAACAGAATCCTCGGCTTCATAGCAAGAAGTATAAATAATAGTAGTCCTCAGGTTGTTCTTCAACTCTATATATTATTGGTTAGGCCTCATTTAGATTAGGCTGCACAGTTTTGTTCACTGTATTACAGAATGGATATAAATGCTCTGGAAGACGTACAGAGGAGGATGACAAAGTTGTTCCCATGTATCAGAAATCTTCTCTATGAGGATAAACTGAGGACCCTGAATCTGCACTCTCTAGAAAGACGTAGAATTATGGGGGATATGATCGAGGTGTATAAATGGAAAACAGGAATTAATAAAGGGGATGTAAATAGCGTGCTAAAAATATCTAACATAGACAGGACTTGCAGTAATGGCTTTAAACTGGAAAAAATCAGATTCAGGAAGGATGTAGAAAGCACTGGTTAGGTAATAGAGTTGTGGATGAGTGGAACAAACTCCCGAGTGCCGTCATAGAAGCTAAGACGTTGTGTAGTTTTAAAAATAGGTTGGATGAATACATGAGTTGATGTGGGTGGGTGTGAGCTGGACCTGACTAACTTGTGCTACTAGGTCGGATGCCGTGCTCCTCCCTGAGGTGAATGTGACTGACTTGACTAGGTCAAGGCATTGGCTTAAGCTAGTGGGAGAATTGGACGTACCTCGCATGGGCCAGTAGGCCTGCTGCAGTGGTCCTTCTTCCTTATGTTCTTATGTTCTTAAGAGAGGAATACGAAGAGAGCAACAGAGCAATGGTGGACACACTAGCTGAGGTGGCCAGAAGAGCTCACTCAAGCAAAACATAGTTACTGGTTATGGGCGATTTCAACCACAGGGAGATTGATTGGGAAAACCTGGAGCCACATGGGGTCCCGAAACATGGAGAGCCAAGATGATGGATGTGGTACTGGGAAACCTCATGCATCAACATGTTAGGGACACTACCAGAGAAAGGATGAACCAGCATGACTGGATCTCATGTTCACCCTGAGCAGTTCGGACACTGAAGACATCACACATGAGAGACCCCTTGGAGCTAGTGATCACGTAGTTCTGAGCTTTGAATATGTAGTAGAGTTACAAGTGGAGAGGGTAACAGGAGTAGAATGGGAAAAGCCAAACTATAAAAGGGGGGACTACAAAGATATGAGGAACTTCCTACAAGATGTTCAGTGGGAAAGGGAATTGGTAGGAAAGTCAGTAAACGAAATGATGGACTACTTAACAACAAAATGCAAGGAAGCAGAGGAAAGGTTTGTTTCCAAGGGCAGCAGAAATAATGGGAAGACCAGAACGAGCCCTTGGTTTACCCGAAGGTGTAAGGAGGCCAAAACGAAGTGCACTGTAGAATGGAAAAAGTACAGACCAGACATCTCTCCGTGGGCCCTTAGAGAGGGACCAGATATGCTGTATGCGCCACTAAACACAATTTTCAACACATTCCTTGAAACTGGGCAACTACCTGAGGTATGGAAGATGGCAAATGTAGTCCCCATTTTTAGGAAAGGAGACAGAAACGAGGCACTAAACTATAGACCAGTGTCATTGATGTGTATAGTATGCAAAGTCATGGAGAAGTTTATCAGGAGGAGAGTGGTGGAGCACCTGGAACGGAATATGATTATAAATGACAACCAAATCCTGTGTCACAGACCTTCTGGAGTTTTATGACAAGGTAACAGAAGTAAGACACAAGACAGAGGGGTGGGTTTATTTCATTTTCTTGGACTGCAAGTGTTATGGGGGTTCGTGGAGATGTGATAGTTGGAGTTAAACACACTTGTTGGATGGTAACACTTATATTAGCAGAGTGTGAAAGGAGGAGCCCAGCCAGGTCTGTCCTGTTGCCTGGTAGGTCTACGGTGAACTGAGAACAAGACTGGGAGCGCAGAGCTCACAACGGCATCACGTGACGTCACACAAGCTAGTCACTGAGCCTAGCACGGGGTCGTGTATGTAAAACATATGGATGGTACTAACTATGATACTCAGATAAGCTATACAACACATGTAGGGGATCAGCAACTATGCTGACAGCTCGGTCATGTTACGTATGTCGTCTCGACATGCAATACTATGCTATAGGCTGAACAGGCAGGTGGCTCTGGGTTGATTCTATACAATAACAAAGACATATATAACTTAAAACTAAAGGATAGTATTGATTGATCGATCTGTATTCATGCACTCTACGGATTCTGAGGAAGAATATATATTTACAAAGGTGAAAGTAAATTAACAGCAAAGGCATATCTGGCGCACGCAGATCATTACTGCTAATCTCAGAATTCGGAGGGAACTTGAACACACAAGTAAAATTTTCTGAAAAACTGATCAGCTAATAACAAACACACAGTGGACAACTTCATTCATCTTGAACATCTAAATATACAGGCTATGTACATTTAAACCCAACTCTGTGAGGGTAAGATTTACATATGCAGAATGGTTATCATCTTTGGGAGGATCGAATTCCTTTGCAATGGCTAACACATGCCTTGACTGAGGGAGATCTGAAAAAGTATCTACAAAGGATACAGCTATATTCACCAGTGACTGTGGAATTACTAACTGGTATACTCTTCTGCTTGGAGTACTCAACTCAGCTGTTTGATACAGTAATTCTTGGCTCATTACAAAGTCACTAATGGGTTCTGGTGGCTTCACAGTCAGAACAAGATCTTCCTGGAGCAGGAATCGAATCACACCAGACCACAAGGGATCGGTTCTTTCTTACTGGAGGAATGAACAAACTCGGTGGAGCGGATGACTCTCCCTGGTTGAAAAAAGTAACGCTGTAACATGCAATATGAGCAAGGGAGAACGGATCTACTATCTCTCACTGCAAGCACAGAGGAAAAGAAATGAACACGGTCAACAATACTGGTAT